CTCCCCAGAAGAAGTAGGCAACAGTGATTGGCTAGTGTGTGGCTTTGAAGACTTGGAAGACGTCCCCTGGGAGGTCTGACCTAATCCGGCCCCAACCCACCCAAATTGCAGGAGCTATGCCCTGCCAGAATCAAGGGTGAGATGCTCACCCTCCGGAATCCCTTTGTCACGGGTGAAGCTTCTCCCCGTCCAATCAGCGACGGTCCTGTGAGTCCGTTCCCAAACTGAGAGTGCCATAGGGCACCACGGAGAATCTTGCATTGAATTGGATCATTTAATGATCGCATAAGGTTGCAGGTTGTAAGAATGCAAGCAGAAGTGCTCAGTCCCGGCACGTACTCAGATCCATCCGTCGGAATATTTTCGCAGTTGTTCCGATGGACACCCTGCAGGACAGGTCGCCTCGATGCGGCTTTTGTTCAGCCTGACACCGGTTCGGCCCCTTTGCTCGGTCTGTGCAGCAGACCGCTGGACCGGGTTTTCGGGCTCAGGTGCTTGTGGGTCTCCCACAGGCCCAACACGGGGTTCTCGCAAACACAGCGCACGAAAGGATAACGTTAGAACCGCACCCTGAAGATCCTCACTGGTTGATGAGGGGAGGGAGGGCGCTGAGGGGACTGGAATGGACAGGGAGACGCCGGACGAGGTTCCGGTAGCTGAGAACAAGCGGGTCTCCCACCCGATTGAGGTTTTAGGGCTTGCCGCCGCTCTCCCAGTTTGGGGTTACCCGTGTTTGGCCTGTCGAGGATTTCCTTTGAGTTTCCTGCAGGGTGCTGTTGTTTCTCTCCGGGTGGTGCAAGCCCATCTTGGAGGAAGCCTAGCGGCAGGCGTTGTTGTTAGGGACCAATGCTTGGCTGACGGACAGCCAGAGGCACCAGGTTGTGGAGGTTAAAGGCTGTGGCTCGGTGCCTGAATGCAAGTGGTATGGGCTCCTTGGAGCCGCTGAGGTAAACCAGTTAGTAAGAGCGAGAAAGCTGGTTCCCCTCCCTGGTGAGTAAGTGCGAGAAAGCCAGGTCAGCAAACGGGGCTAACAGGAGCTCAGTGCTGCTGCGGCATGAGTTCCTGGGGCCTAGGTTAGTAAGGGCGAGAAAGCCTAGGCCTGTGCCGGAGGTTGGCGACTTTGCCAAGCCACTTGCGTTCAGTTTAGTACAGGCATTGCCCATGTATCGGTTCCAGACCTTCTGCCTTTTCTGTGTGAGCCGGAAGTGGGTGAGTTTCTCCCCTGTACTGGCAGGGCTGATAGGGTAGGCAGTACAGACCAGGCAGTTCAACCTGCAGAACTTTTTGCCTAGGGCTTTGTACAGTGCCAAACCAGTGAGTAGCCGTAGGCCGCCGAGCTTCTCGCGGATCTGGTTAGGCCCTTTTTCTTCTCTCGGTGCTCCCTGCACATAGTACGGCCGTGTCAAGCAGGCCAAGGACACCTCGAGAGTCCCTTTTCCGTGCATAGTTAATACCTACCGGAACTCCGGTTCCGAAGAGCCTAACCTGGCTAGCGACTCAGCCGCTTTCGAGTGAAAAATTCACCTGGCTCAAGGTTTCGGCTCAACCCCGGTGGGGTGCTCAGGTAGAGAGCGTCTTTAGTGCCGTTGTGGCTGGCCCTGGGGCTTGTAACTAAGGGTAGGTTCCGTTTTGAGGCCCTGGCAAAACTGTGTTTGCTCGTAGGCCGGCTGACCGGCTAAGCTGTCATAGAGCGGCGGCCCGCCAACTGCTGCCGACGACGAAGGACGTTCGAGTGCACAGTTTTCGGCCTCGCTTCGCTAGAGGGAAGCTTTTCGTCCTCGCGTTGCTGAGGGAACCTTGTGGCCTACAGTCTGCTCTGGGTCACAGTGAGAGTTGCAGCCTCGATTTGCTTGAGGGGTGACGCTAGAGCCTGTTGCTCACCAGAGATTCCTGCTGTCTCTGGGTGAACAAAACCCGCCGACCCTCATTTGGATTGAGGGCTGTGTGTTAGGGTGAGTTTGGGTTCCTCGCTCGTTTGTGTGGAGAACGAAGGTGAGACCGAAACACGGGGGAAAACGGCCAAGGCACGTTGCAGACAGTGCAGGCCAACGTCGCACTGCAAGCGGCATCCTTGCAGTTGTTGACAGGAGTGTCCCGAACAATAGCGGTGTGCTTGAGCCCGAGTTTGCTGGTTTTCGGGGATCTGCAAGCTGAGCACAACTGGATATTCTTCGCAGGTAGAATCAGGTAGAACAGATTTGGCCCAACCCTGGTGGATCTGCCTGGACACAAATAACCAAAGGCATCAGTGTCGTAAAGCTCATTGACTGGTGCTACTGAGAAACCGTTGCCAAAGAACTTGCAGTAGGACTGTGGTGCGGCGCAGTGCAAGTTGAAGAGCAGCTGTTGGTGGCTGCTCCCCGGAAAACCAGTAGTCCAAGAAAGCCTCCTTCGGCCTCGCTCCGTGCTGAGGGTTTGTAAGGGTTGGTATTGGCCGGAAAGGATTCAGATGGAGGTTACCCGATTTTCGCGCTTTTCCCATCTGAAGGCAACCAATGGTAATCAGCCTGCTGGACATGGCAGGCCTGCTTTTGTTTACATCCACGTCTCCTGCAAGGGCTGGGGTCTGTCCGTGCACACAGACAAGGCGGAACCTTGCAGATGTTTAGGTCCTCGCGGCACGGCCGCTGGAGGTTGTTTGAAGATGTTGGCTCTCACTGTCTGGTGAGTGGTTTATGGGCACTTGCTGGGGCAAGGCGGCTCTGGCGTCTGAGGATGGTACATGTGCTGGCTGCTGAGTACGGGCCACCGAAAGAGACCTGTGGTAAGACAAGCGATGAAAGGAGCCGAACTCCTAAACTCTAGGACAGGCTAGCTCACGCGGACGCCACGCAGAGTATGTGTCACTATCTTCAGATGTTGGAGCCAAATTGCCTAGCCGTGTGACGTGTGATGTGGTGTTTGGATTCGGCCTCAAGCACTGGAAGGCCTACAACAACAAATCCGAATGAAAACTGTGGTCCTAAGACACGCGGAGCAGCTGCTTATACGTGGCACCGCGGGGGTCACATAGAGATAGAGGGCTTGCCAGCAAGGGAACTCTGTCTAGAGATAGCCCTGGCTCAGTGAGGAGCTGAGGGCCTGGCTGCGCAGATGCAGCGGAATGGTTGTTCGGCCTCGCCTCCGCTGAGGGAACAACAGTCCATGCTTCTCTGCAGTGTCGGTCCGGGTTAGTAAGAGCGAGAACGCCGGGACCTCGAGCTGCAGTTTTACCATGAAGCAACCGCGTGAGATGCATTATTGGTCAACTGGTGAGTAAGAGCGAGAAAGCCAGGGTGACGCTACTTTGGGGGAGGCTGCAAGGCACGGTTAGTAAGTGCGAGAAAGCCGGAGCTGCGGACGAACCTGGAGTAGCAGTCTTTCATACCTCACGTGTTTCACTTTGCGGCCTCGCATGCGCTGAGGGAATATGCCTCGAACAGAACATCCAGTGCTGAGTGGGGATTGCCAAACTTACGGAGGCTGATGCCACAACAAGTGCCTCAACAGCAATGCATGCGGAGGGCAAAGTCGGCCTCGCGAGTGCTGAGGGTTGCAGCTGAGAGAGGGCCTAGCTGAGAACGCAACACCTCAAGCGAGGTAATTTTTAGTTTAGTTTCACTTTGACCAACGGCCCCTTCGGGTGGCTACGCGACGCAGCGTGCAGACGAAAAATTCACCTGTAGTGTTTGCCCAGTTGGTGCCATGTGGTGTTTTACTGTACAGAGAGAAGCATGAGAGTTTTTCTGCTGCATGACTTGGCATGAGCATGTTTGGTTTTGCCCGAAGTCCCTAAAGCATGTTTGGGTTGACTGCGACGCATGTCTTGTCTTGTTGGCATGGCCTAGGATGAGTTTTGAGGCACTTGGAACTGCTTGAGAGCAGTAGTGAAGAAGTGCGTGTCAGAACTCTGAGGTTCTGTCTTGCTGCAACTCACTCCGTGTCCCCGCCACTTCGTTCGTTTCCGTTGGACGTGTAGGATGGGAGTAGGAGTGCAGAGTGGACTCTGAAGCTTCGCTGTTTTGCTGTTCGGAAGTGACCTGAAGTCCCCGAGGTGTAGCCCAAAGCAGTTGCATTGTTCTTTTGCTTTACCTCCTTTGTAGAACAAAGTTGAGATGGAATTCGTAGCTTTTTGGAGCCCTTAGCTCTTGGAGAGAGCTTGCTGCAAGAACTGAAGCTTGCTGAACACTTTGGTGTTTGGCTCAAGTGCGAAGTGAAAAAGAGACTGCTGCGCGAGCTCTGCTTTTCACACTAACATGCACACGTGCAATTACACGACAAGTCTTAAGCGTTCTTTTTTAAGATTGCCAGCTTCCAACAATTTCGAACTGACCTGGAGGCTTTGGAGCAAGCTCTGAAAAGGGTGAAAGAAGCGGACGTCCAGCAATATCGTGAATTTAAAGAGGGAAGAAAAGCGGAAAGGATCGGCGGAGAAGATAAGAAGTTCAGTCAATGTTAGATTTGGCCAAAGCCCTGCTGAAAGCCACAGCCCGAATGGTCTGGCGGATCGACTTTTGCCTACAGGATTTATGTCTTTCAAGAGCCGCTGATGACAATGATGGGAGTGTATCACCCCGCCCGGGTGATGTGGACAAGCTTCCTGGCACCGTGTCGGCTGCACAACACCTGCTTCCCGTGGTTTCAATATACATGGAGGTGTTCTAGCCTCTATATAACTTTTTTGCTCAACGGCAACTTTTATTCTGGTTGAAGAGCCGGCAACCCAACATGGAAGTGAAGCACCGATTGCATGCATGCCGTCGGAAGCGAAACTGAGCATGTGCTGACTTGTCGAGGGATGTTGGCCAGTGCATAAGTTTATGATTTGGCTGTGCGCCTAGGATTAAACAAAGGTTCATCGGCCCTCTTAGGGAAGGTGGCTTCGCCGCATGTATACGTTCGCGGCCCTCTTGTTAGACGACCAGAATACGGGAACCCGGAAGATTGCGTCATATGCGAGGCCATGGGAATGTCAAGGAACCGTTGGGCGATGCAGTCGGAAGGATTGAGAAGTTTGTACAATGGCCTGGACGGTGGTGTTTGTCGGTGGCGGGTTGAGTGGGACTCGCTGTGCAGAAGCCGTTTCCTCCGTCGGCCGAGCAGCTGTTGAATCTTCCCAATGCTGTGTGATCTGCAGTGTCCTCTTGGTGCTTACAGCTTGCCTTTTAGCTTTTAGCGTTAGCTTACCATCAGCTCATCAGGATCCGGCACGGCATGAGCACTCAGTGGAAGAGGAAGTGCTGACGAAGCCGAAACGGAACAACTCTTCCTCGGTTACAAATTGGGGAGTTCTTTGCATTTTTATCGCTGCCGTCGAATACACCGGGGTGGAAGTTGCAACTTCCATGCTGTTGGAAACGCAGTTCGCCTGGCCTGTAGATTCCATCAGCGCCGGTGTGGATGCAGTTTTTGCATTGGCAACCATAGGCAGTCTGGTGCTTTTGGCCCTGCGCAGCAGTGGCTTGCTAAGTGATCGGCAGATGCTTTATGGAATGGGCTTGATTGCCCTGGTTGCCAGCTTTGTCTTTTTTGACTTTACGAGGGGTCCGTTGGCCCTTCTCACAGCCGCTGTTGCGATTTACACATGTGTGCTCTGTGCTGTGGGGATTGCTGAAGGATTACGTAACCTTCCTGCAGATTACACCCAACGGCTTGCAAGCCACAGAGAAGCTCGTTTTCTACATGTGGCTGGGATGCATTTTGAAGAATGTGCTTGCTCGGTGCTACCATTGCCTCAAGCTATGAAGCCGTAGAAGCATCTTCAACGCTTTGAGAACATGTTGAGCACTTTGAGCTTGAACGCTTTGAAACCAATAAACCAACAATCTTGACGAAGAGAAGCCCGAGGTACATCGCCGATTCTCTGGTCAAAGCCACAGCGCCACCGATTGCTCGATGGATTCTTGGCACCCACGGCCGGAACGTCTACGCATTGTACCTTAGTGGTTCAAAAGCAGCAGTTTGAAGATCCTGTGATGAATGTGAAGCTTCACTGCTTCGAGTTCTGTAGAGAACCGCCTGATGAAACGTAAACTTCATGATGCCTGCAGAATTGGACTGGACTGAGGTACCAGGTCACCCTGCTATTGCTGAACGGTTTCACAACTTTGAAAATCGTGTAAATTCGGTGCACACCTCTCCGATGGAAAGCCCGTGCAGCGATCTTCTTCGAGCATGCCTGCAGGTCGCCAAGGTCACTTGGGTCCCGGCAATTATCGGCAGTTGCTGAATGGTTTCACAGCTTGGAAAAAATCGTGTAACTTCGATGCACCTCTGATGAAAAGCCCGTGAAGCCATCTCCTGGAGTATTCCAGCATTCCTCTAAGTCGTCAAGGTCGCTTGCGTTCTCTGCCCACACATGAGTAGAAGAGACTTGATTGGGATCCTCTGGCCCAAAGTTGAGGCGTAGACTTTTACAACACGTTCTTTTTTTTTAGCCTCTCAACCTTGCCAAAGATTGGAAGGCTGGCTTGCTCATTGGCGTGCGCTAGTTCCTATCAGCCTGCGCAAATCCCATGCGGCTTGCTTCTCTTCTGTTTTCTGTAGCGTATCTTTGTGGTCGTTGCACATCGTTTTTTGTATGAGAACTTGCCGTTCTCAGCGCCATGCAGATGCAGCATCAGCACCCGGGCTTGGCCAGGTTATGTGAAGCGAAGGAGTCATGTTAATTCACGATGGGCCAGTGATGCCTCTGAATTTGAGCATGCGTTTCCTGGAGGAGACACCGCACCTTCGCCTCCTGTGCGTGCCATACAGTGGCGGAGCCTCGGTGGTGTGTGTAAGATGTTTCAGGCTTGCAGATAATATCCTAAAGGCACTGGCAAACGGGGCTGTTGCCCGGGGCTTGGCTATGGCCATGCCCGGGTATAGCAGATGACAGCGAGGGTACCCCACTGCGCTCAATGCCACCTCACCGGGGGATCTTGTGCGCGCATGCACATGCGCAGCCATTCGTTCTTGTGTTGAGAGTTGGCGGTCTGGGGCCGAGGACACGCATCCGTGCGTTCAGTGTTATGTTAAGATATGTTACAACCAGTCAAGATATGTTAAGATATGTTAAGATATGCTAAGATATGTTAAGATATGTTAAGATATGTCAAGATATGTTAAGTTACGTTAAGATATGCCAAGGTATGTTTAGATATGTTAAGATATGTAAAGGTATGTTAAGATATGTTAAGATTTGTTGACAGATGTAGCACATGCCAGAATATGCTAGCTGGGCTGTTGTATGACATGTTCGAGTTAGTGAAAGCATCCTCAAGGGTACGAAACACGTAAAGAAAATCCTGGGCCCAGCTCCACCTCAGGATGGCCGTAGGACCCAAGGCCCAACACAGTGTCTCTAGAGTCCTGTCCAACATGAATCAACATGAATCTGCACGAGACTTACACGTTCAGTTGAGGAGATGCATCATCCTTCCGATCATGGGGGCTGGAGGATCAGTACCTGGAGGTTTGGTCTGTTCGGCTGCCGGGCCGTGCGAACAGGGCCCATGAGAAGCCTTTCAACGACTCTAGACTTCAAGGGACTCCAAAAGGGACTCAAGGGGCTTTAAGGTGCTGCTGGAAATCTGAACGAAGCTTTCAGATCTCCAGATTTCCTGCCTCAGCACAAGTATGTTTTTCCTGTGCATCCTGCTACATCATTGCTTGTGTTTCCGCATGAAGTGTGGAGGTGTGACCGGAAAGTCGTTGGCAACCACGTGCGTGTAGCTGAGTCAGTAATGCTAACGGGGAATGCGGAACATCTGCCTTCCTGCCTGCCATCCCCCCTACTTTCCTCATGCAATGTTGACCCAAGCAAACTTTTTCAGAGAGCGTAAAACGCATCTTTATGAATCGGGGACGGTTGAGGATTGGAGGGCGGCTGTCAACGAAATCGTTGTTGGACTGCAACAATTTTTCCTGGACGGCGTCCCTTTTGCGTCTCGGCAGCTCTACCGGTGGTGAAGCCTTGTCTGCCGGCAACGCTTTAAGTTCAATACCGAAGCAAAAGCACGATGCACAGAGAATAGGATCAGGATGCCAGTGAACAGTAAACATCAGTAAACAAGCTCTGCAAACGACGAGTCACAAAGGGAAGAAGAAGCCATGGAGAAGCTGTTCCTTTTTCCGTTGCTTCATCTTTTAGCCGCGGAAAGCCCCCCAGCCAAGGCAATCTTAGGGCACTCGCTTGGCGCGCTGCTGGGCTTCGAGGTCATTAGGTCTCTTGCAGCACAAGGCCTTCCGCAGCCGATCCTTTTTCTCACCAGCTCGCATGCCCCTTGGTCTCCTTTGGGCAGGCCGCACTTTACCATCTCCTTTTGAGGAATGGTCACAATGAACGCCCGTGTAATCTGGAGTCATCCTTGCTCTTTAACTTGGGGTTTCAAGGCAGCTTGGTCAATGAGAATCGGAGATGTAGAGCTGACGGGTGTAGCAGCGTCTGTGCACACGAAGGCGTATTCTTTCATGCCGAAAAAGGAGTCAGGTCAGGTTAGCCTGTACGCCCCGAAGGCCCGTTTGTTCACAGGGTCGCAGAAACGAAGCTACGTCATCTCCCAGAGCTGGCAAGAGCGAGGAATTGCGGTAACAGTGTTTCCCAATCGTCGATATCCAGTCCAAATCTGGCTGTGGCCCAGCCCTAAACCCAGAACGCTGGCTAGTTTAGAGAGATGAGTAAACTGGAAGAAGACATTGGGCTATGTTGGGTTGCCTTAAGTCTCTTAAGCACTCCAAAGCCTAGGCGCCGCCCTGGAAGAAGATTTCCGGGCTCGAGGGCGTGAGCGACATGAAGCCATCCGAGATGCTGCCGCTGCTTTCAAAGCTCGGGATTCTCTCCAAGGAGGTCTCGGCCGCTTCTGAGGAGCTCTCCTCAAAAGCCTGTAAACCTGAAATGCCCGATTCCAGACAATTCAAGGGCTGCTGTCTTGTTGCACAGCATCAGCAGTCCCCCACTGTGAGCCTGCGGGTCTCCTCCGCGTCGATGTTGGTGACAGTATGCTGGGATTTCTGAACGCTTGTTGTTGTGTTCCCTGCACTACGTACACGGTCTTGTTGGGTTGGCAGCCGTTTTGGAGTCTGGGGCCGCGGGGAAATCGGGACACACTCGCTTGAAGAGGCAGATCTTCATTCGTTATGGTCTAAGATCCGAGTGAAGAACCGTGCCAGCCTTCAGGCCCCAGAGTTCGAGGATGAAGCACTGTCGGTGTTCCTCCCGGCATTGAAAGCAGATCTGGAGACGCGAGCTGGTTGGGAAAACTTTTTTGCGCCGTTTGTGGGAGTTGAATTCCTGAAGCCCATGATCATCCGCGGCTCCCTGTGCAGAGCTAGTGAGGGCGTTGTTGGGACACCCAAGGAGATGTACAACAACTATTGCTGCAACATGCCACCGCTCCCTGGCCCAACTAAACACAGATCCTCAGTTTGGCCGGCACTTCAGAGCACTTAGGTTCAACTTCGGTGACACTGCCGTTGCTGCTTTGATCGGTCTTTCTGATGCAGCCGTCTCTTTGGAAGATATGGAGGACTTTGTTGAGTCCCTGATTTTCTGAGCCTCCCAACTTTATCACGCTGTGTTGCAGGAATGGGGATCTTTTTGCCAAAGCTTCGAAGTCAAAGCCTTTGCTGGAGGGCACTTCTACTGGCAAGGGCAAGGAGGCATCCGGGAGGAGGTTCAGGCGTACTTGGCCGACAGGCTACGCAGATCTCTCCGCACTCTTCCTCGAAGCGTTCACTCACGTTTCGGTTGCGTGGAAAGCCCATCGCAGCTCTGCGCATTGACTACCTTGATTTCCCGGCATCCTCCAAACAGCTCGACGATTGAGGACAGTCCACCGCCTCGAGCTGATTCTTGAAAAGGTTCGCACAAGATTCGCAAGCCCCTGACGCCCTGAAACAGGCAACCCATCTTCGCTCCCAAATCCACTAAAGGGCCCCCTGAATGTCAAACCGCCTCCCAAAGTGCAAAGCCGAAGGACAAGCATGAGAAAATCTCGCTTGGGGAGCTGCGGGCTCGAAGCCATGCGTTGGCAAGAGGCCTGGGCGATGTTCATCAGGCAACGGTGGCCACTTTGCCGCTTGGTAAAGAGTCGGTTTCGCCTTTGCTGCAGGTGTACTAGGCCTGACAAGGGCACTATTCCAAGCCTTCAAGCCAGGTGTTGCAAGTAGTGGGACATCGTACTACCACCCCAAAAGCAAGGCAATCACTGCTCGCGGGATGCATTTTGATGCTGAGGGCGTGGGCACCTCGTTTCGGGCGCAGTGCATCACCAACCTCAGTTTCGGTGTTGTTTTCTCCGGTCGGCTGGATGGCTGCCAGCCTCCCCCTGTAGCTCCTGCAGGTCCATGGCAAATTCAGTTCAACTCAACGGAAGCAGCAACACAGCACAGGTGAAATCAAGGAATCAGCACCAAAGCTAGGGCTCCTGGAGGGGGGGGGGAGTTGCAGGGTCCTTTTGGGCCGGGGCTCTTGCTTTCAACTCCAAGGCTTCAACCCAATATCTGAGGCAGACATGTGGCTTCGCCTCTGCAACCCCAACAAGTTGGGGTGGTTCCCGCATTTTTAAGGTCCATACAACCTCGTGGACTACCCTCCTTGGATTCGCAGCACCAGAACACGGTCACTACCCTCGTGTTATCGTTCTGCACCATCACGTGATATGCACGCTTGACAATCGCTGAATGCTTCGCCTCGTCTCGGAAGGCCAATCGAACATGTTTGTGGAAGATTAAGAAGAGTGTGCTTACCGAGGGGATTGCGTCAGAGATAAGATGCCCCGAGCTTAAACACAAGTGTTTGGGGGGTGCCAAGCAGGAGTGCTAATTACTGGGGCACACGCGTACTTTGCGGCTGCTTACGGATAGCCAAGGCCGCTAAGCACACTGTGGGGAGAGGCAGATGAACGCAGACAGAAGGTTCGGCAAAGACTATAGCCACTCACCAACACGAACACAAAAGAGCATGGTTCCGCAAGAAAGAGGAATGGCTGCGAATAAGTGCAGTCTGCATGCTGAAGTATTTTCTTTAGGTGAGGCCCTTCAGGACTGGGGGGTGTATGGTGTTTGCGGTGGCGCTCAATTCAATCATGAATATGTTTTTGATTGACAATTTCAAATATAGTCAAGCATGGCGACTTGTTATTCTTGTGAGTTTGATTGTTGCTTATGTTTGTCTCAGGCTGGTAGACTCAAATATGCACACGTAAACCTGTATGATAGTTGCGAAATCTCCGATCTGAAAGGAAT